TTCAGTATGTATTACATACACCTCAACATAAAGAAAACAAAAATCCTCACAACCAGACCAGTAGCCAACATCATAACAAACAGAAAATATTGAAGTTGTCAGAGATTTCATTTTATTTGGGTCTACAGTCATCCCTGGAAACAGCAGTCAGGAAATCAGATGTCCTATTGCACTAGGAAAATTTACTGCAAAAGACCTCTTTAAAGTGTTAAGGAGTAAAGATGTCACTTTGAAGACTAAAATGTGCCTAATCCAAGCCATGGTCTTTTCAATTGCTTCACATGCATGTGAAAGCTGGACAATGATTAAGGAAGACCAAAGAAGAGTTGCTGCCTTTAAATTGTTATGTTGGCTAAGAAGACTGAAAATACCTTGGACTGCCAAAAGAATGAATAAATCTATCCCAGAAGAAGTGCATCCAGGATGCTCCTCGGAAGCGAGACTGGCTAGACTTCTCACCTATTTTGGTCATGTAATCAGAAGTTCCCATTCCCTGGAGTAGGATATCATGCTTGGTAAAGCAGAGTCAGTGAAGAGGGGAAGACCCTCAATGAAATGGACTGACACAGCGGCTGCAATGGTTTTGTTCTGTTGTGCATAGGGTCTTTATGAGTTGGAACCAATTTGATGACACCTAACAACAACATTGTTAAAAGCTATACTCAACAGACAGGAGCTCTGGTAGCATAGTGCCTAAGGCACTTGACTGCTAACCAGAAGACTGGCGGTTCAAACCCACCAGCCACTCCTAGGAAGGTAGGTTGGACAATCTACTTCCGTAGTGATACCACCTCAGAAACTCAAGAAGGAGTTGCTATGACTCCATGGCACATAACAACAACAACATACTCAACAGTGTTGCCCTTGCATTTTCATCTAAAATTTTTGTTTATGTATTTATGTCTTAATCAATTTTGAATTTGTTTTTGTGTAGAGTATGAGGCATGGTTACAGTTTCATTTTTCTAAATTTGGAAATCCAATTTTCTCAACACTATTAATTGAAGAAATTCTTCTCCTATCCAATGGACTTTGCACTCCTGTCAAAAGTCAGTTGACCATCACAGAAGGACAAGTACTGTATGAACCCATTACTGTAAAAAGAGAAGGATTTGCTTGGGAAAGGGAACTCACCTAGTAGGTTACCAGGATGGGGAGGGAAGGGAAAGGATTAATTTTGGGCTAGTTGGGGCTTACATGCTGACATGGGTAGGGGGAAGGATCTACGGGAAGGATATAAGACTGCCATAATAACATTGGGAAATGAGGGGACACAGTAATTGTGCACATAAGAGATAGATGATAGATGCTAATACCAACCAATATGTCCACAATGCCACATTGCCATTAACACCAAACATTAGGCTATACAGATAAACACATAAACACCTGAGATGATCAGACGGGAATCAGTGAACAGAGGTATACTCTAGACCAAGGATAGATTCAGCTGAGGCTAATCTTGCACAGACACCAGTGATACAAAATGCCTGCTGTCCTTACAGAAACAATAGAAGACAGACACAGAGCAATCCCTCACAGACATCCAGACACTATGGGAGAGAGATCCAATAAATCTACTGCCTCAGGACCATAGTACTGGGGGACACCAGAGTCAATTGGCACAACAAAATACATAAAAACATTGCTCCACATCCTACATTGGTGAGTAGTGACTGGGGTCTTAAAAGCTTTCAAGCAGCCATCTAAGATGCAGCTAATTGTCTCCTAGCATCAGAAGTGAAGAAGAATGCAAAAAAAAAAAAAGGGGGGTGGCATTTAGAA